GTTCATCGCCAATTACTCTTTAATGAGTGTTTTGCTTTCTATTTTTTCCTCAGTGTCAATATATTCTATAGTGTCTATCAACAATTGCAGACTTTTTCGAGCGATACAGAGTTCCATAAAGCTACTTACCACTCTTTAGTAATCTTTCCTCGGTGGTTCAGGTGAATGATCGAGCAACTTTTTGCCTAGAGCTGTACAAAGGTTGTATTACACACGTCACTGTTAGGCGTAGAAAGGATCCTGTTTGCCGATGCGTGACGCATTTGCTCTGCCCAGATCACGATTTCAATGTAAATGTCAGCGAGCGAAAAGGATTCGTGATTAAAAAAAAAGTCATTGACGTAATTGAAACGAGGCGTACAGTAGAAACTGTTTTTTTTTTATGATCAACGAGACACGTTTCCCAATCGTGACGATTCCATAATTCGACGATTATGACGAGTCCAATATGATTGACTTAAAAATACTAACAACCAATTGCAAGGGAATAAAAAGAAATTAAAAATGATGTAAATTACATTTAATTATCCTCGTTTCATTATATTTTTAACCGGTTACATGTCTGCCCTGTTGAACATATCCACCTTGAAATAGTATATCTATATCTTATGCTCCTCATTTAATTGGTAATTAGTACAGTACATTTTAGCGTAAGCACATTTACATCTAATTAGTTGATACAGTTATCCGCATTGTAAGTTTCTCTCCAGACTTGTTATTTTATTAGCTTCCCTTTGTGCGCACGGAAGCTGGCGTTGAAAGCTCTAAACTCTTATCCGAAATATGTCCGATTTCAGTGGATATGTCTGTAAATCCACATTTTTATGAAATTATTAACATGTAATTAAACTGTAGATTTTTATGCAAAGTGAGAATTTAAAAAAATGTGATTTGAACAGTTCCTTCCATCGTTTAAACGTTGCATGTAGCTTTCGATGTTCCATACATTTCTGCGCATTCGTAAAATCCGCAATCTGATAATTGTCGAACGATATCGAAAATCCGAGTCACCTTTTCATGTTCCTCATCCGGCGGATATTTTCCAGCCTCCTCTTGTTCCTGCTAGCATTCGCTTTCGCCTCGGTGGCAGCTGCGCTCGCTTTGGCAGCCTCTCGATTCGTATTAGCGAGCTCCTGCCTGGCGGCCCTCAGCTGGTTCGACAGTTCCTCGACCCGTCTCTTCGCAGCGTCCAGTAGCTCTTCCTTTTCCTGTAGCGTTTTCTGCGCCCCGTTCGCGGCCGCCTGTGCATTAGCCGCGTTCGCTTTGGCCGTTTGGATCGCGTGCGACAGCGTCTTCAACTGAATTCCAATTTTTGTAATGCCGAACAAAACTGTTTCAACGGTCTTTTGATAATTAAATGGAACACCTGATCTTGCGACTGCCTCGCCGCTTGCACCGCGGCGTTTACGTTCGTCTGCTCCTGTTCCAACGACGACGATTCCTCCTGGACCACCGATTGAGCCTCCCTCACTTCCTCTTGCAACTGTTCCACTACCACTTTCTTGCTCGTCAGAGCTTCCTGCGCGGCCTTCGCTGCTTGTACCGCTTTTTCGGCGAGTTGCGATTTCACCTATCCGCGAAATTTTGCATCAGGAGGTAGCAACGTTCAATCCGTTTGCATCATACGCCGCCCACAAGGTAAATAACGATGCAAACGGGTTTAAATATGTATCCGAGATCGTACTTGACGGGAGGCTTGCTGCCCGGCGATATTCTGAGCTTCCGAGGCGGCCTTCGCCTCTTGCGCAGCCTTCTGAGCGACATTATTATTCTTCTCCGATGGTTTCTTATGGTTGTTCGGGTTGTTCCCGTGACAATTCGGACCCTCGGCGTAACGAATTTCCCTCTGATTCTACCAGGAATTATAATTATAGGTAAGCACCGAGCAAGTATCCAAAGCATCCTTTATTTAATACTAATTTCACTCCAAATTCGTAACTATAATTATTTATGTACTTGATATTTTTTAAAAGATATCAGAAAATAATCGTAACGAGTAAAACTGTCTTAAACTAAAGTTCTTCACAGTCAGAGGTTATTAAACAAATGCCTTGTTAAAGTGGAGGAGACAGTAGATTATACTAATTGTAAATATGAGAGATAAATTAAGACTTACTAAGGCGACTGGAACCTTGTTCACTCTTCCACAATCAAAATATTCGAACGTCAGTAATACTAAAAATAGAAATGGATAATTTTCACTTGGTTAGAGGAAGGAACGTGTACCGGAAGTCTTGTTTCGCGGGGCTACGCACCGATGTAGAGGATGTGAAAGATGTACATTATGGGTAATACGAAATTTTTAGGTGAACGCCGGATCGCAGCTCGTATAAATCATTATACAGTGTTATCAAATTATTATTGCAACTTGTGACGGTGAGTACGTTGATCAGAGAAACGAATGACACGCGATCCTATCGAATGTGTCATTATACAATGTAATTTAATTACTATATTAACTGTTAACCGATCTACCGCTCTGTCCTGTATTCCTTTAAGGTAGTTCTTAGTCCACTTTTGGATTAATATTGTAAAATAATCAAATAGTGGATCATCTCCAGATTTTAATATGTTATTC